ATTTGAGTTTTAATATAAGATTACTTTATTTGTAATTAGACTTAGTATGTAATTATTGACTACGGAATTGGTGCGACAAGTAGCATTGACTATTGTAGTCTTAATTAGACTTAGCATATACGCACGAAACACATAGCATATACATGACTATTGTAGTCTTAGCATGTAATATTATTTGAGTTTTAATATAAGATTATTTTATTTGTAATTAGACTTAGTATATAATTATTTACTAGCTAGGGTTGTATAATATACGTCACCTAGACTTAGCTTATATCACGATTTGTAATTAGACTTAGCACGTAAGGTTGTGTAGGGTTCTAATGTACGACATTTACACTTAGCATACATGACTTAGATTGTTAAAACATAAATGTCTCGTGACTTAGCAGATGTTTCTTGTATCAACAGATGGCTGACCGCGATGAGGAACAGATATTGTACGATACAATCGTGGAGGGAAGCAGGTAGTACTGGAATGAAGAAGAGGGGAACGAGGATCCAAACCAGTACTTGAACGAGGAAGGAAACGTGGAGAGGGATGTGGAGGGGAACCAGCAGGGGCACGTGGAAAGGGATGTGGAGGGGAACCAGGAGGAGGAGGCTAGTGGTAGTCAACCCTCCGTTGGACAGAAGAGGGCACACGGGCAACGAGGTGCAGCGAAGAAGCTTGAGGGTCGGCACATCATAACGGAAGTGCAAGAAGATGGACGTCCTAGTGCCCTGGCCGAAGCCGCCAAGAACTATGTACGTCACAGCGGTTGGGTTGTGCGGGATAACGTGCCTGTCAGTACGGTGTACTGGCGAAAAACAAGGGCACGCGGAGATCATGAGAGCTTTGTCCCAGATTCGGAGAAAGAGATGCTGTGGACCACAATGCTCGAGACATTCACCCTTCCTGCGGGTACAGAGGACAAAGTGAAAAGGTGGACTCTGAAGAAAATGGCAGAACAGTTTCAGAGCTTCAAGGGAGATCTGTACCAGAAGTATATACTGAAGGGGCAGACACCGAACTTCGACACATTCCCAAAGCTAAGGGATCACTGGGACGAGTTCGTTGCATATAAGACAGGTGAACAAGGGCAGGCGATGATGGAAAGAAACAAAGAAAATGCCGCCAAGAAGAAGTACCATCACCACTTGGGGTCAGGAGGCTATAGCGTCGCGATGCCGAAGTGAGAGCAGATGGAGGCTAGCTTGATTGAGAGGGGTATCGAACCGGCAACAGCCAATTGGCCGGAACGATCGAAGTTCTGGTACTATGCTCACGGTGGAACGCTCAACCCAGCTGATGGCTCACTGGTCTTCGGCGATCAGATACGAGAGGCTGCGCGACGACTAACAGATGCAGTGGAAGCCTCCTCTCAGGGCACGTTCCGACCAGACAGAGATAGGGATGAGCTGACACTCGCCCTGCAGACTCCAGAGCATCCAGGACGAACACGAGGGAAAGGGGTGATTCCTTGGAAGATTGGTTTCAAGGAGGACATCCACACGTACAGGAGTCGGATGAGGAGCAAGAGAGATACCGAGGCGAAGATTGCAGACCTAGAGTTCCGGGTATCGAGCTACGAACTCAACATGCAAGAGGAGGTGGCAAGGAAGGTTGATGAATGCATGGCCGCACATCGGTCCCATGATCCCCAGCCGACCATTCCTCCTGCAATGGTGAGCCCGTCAGGAAACCGTAGCAGCTGCGCCTCAACGGGGCAGGTAGGATCACAGAGCATGGACGCCATGCAAACACAGGACGAATCGACCTGTCCCGTTGATGACATCACTCAGCGGACACCATGTGAGCTGCATATTCCTTTCAAGAACTTATCAATAAAGGTAAGATTTAGCCATTCCGCTAGTTGCTGCTTATATATGTTGATTACTAATAAATAATCTCTCACAACATGAAGGTGGCGTCGGGCATGGCCATCCCAACGGACCCTTCAGGTACTTACCACTGCGGGCCGATTCCAGCAGGATACTCGAAGGTCGAAGTTGAGTTGGTCGAAGGCGCGTACGAGGACCTCGAGCTGGATTACCCTGGAGGAGACGGTGAGACGCATCTACGAGACACAAGCCATGCCATTATTCTATGGCGCAGGCGGTACATCATCCTCCTTGGGCGACAAGCGGCGTCTCGTGCACCATCTCCTCCGGCTCCGCCATCTCCTCCTCAGGATCCTGCACCGTCTCCTCCTCATGCTCCGCCAGCACCGTCTCCACCTCAGGCTCCAGCATCGACTCCTCCTCAGGATCCTGCACCGACTCCTCCTCGTGCTCCTACACCTACTCCCCCGCAAGCTCCTCTTCCGGCACCTTCAAAGTCAAGGGCCCCCCCAGCTCCACCGCTTGCCCACACAAGGGCAACAAAGAAGGCGAAAGTTGACGCCACCAAGAACAAGGACCCGGGGTACGATTGCACGCAAGAGGAGCTTGACGCTTACGTTGCATCAGAAGTCAAGAGACAATTCAAGCCTCGAAGTCCAGAAAAGAAGATTCCTATAGACCCCAGTGTCAGGAACTTCTTCAGGGGTATGTCTGCATCTGTCAAGGAGGCCATCAAGCTATCGGACTATGAGCGAACGCTGAAGAAAGCATCTTCTGGAAAGTCCAAACCAGTCCCTCAGCTTGGAGAGCAACCAAACCAGGAGATCGAGCCGTTGGTGACCGGTAAAGAAATGACGATAGAACAATTTATTACTGACACCGGTCTAACTACGGATCAATTGCTAGGAGTCGCACCAATCGAAAAGGCGGAAGTGAAATACATGTACAAACTCGGTAAACCGCTTGTCAAGCCTGAGCTGCTGCAGTCCCTACCCACACAAATGTACAAGTTCCATCAGCTGTACATGGAGATGAGCGCCACCGGTAGAGAGATGATCGGAGCGAGGATCAGGGACACGGACTTCTTGCAAGGAGATGACATTCTCTGGATCAATTTTAGGGGAATCTACGAACTATACCAGCTGGACGCCCTCGACGTCTCTATTATGAGTTGCTGGATTTTGTAAGTATATCGTTCAGTTAGATTTCTTACTATACGTCTCCTTTAATTAATTAGGTCCTTGTATATAAGTAGACTATAGAAAATAATATACTCCCTTTTATCGTTGTAGAATGGAGATTCAAAGGGCCCGATGGCGGAGGGTTTTCGATACTGGATTCATCGACCCTCGGAAAGTAAACGTCGCAATGCTCGACCAATATCCACAAGAAACAGAGGACAATCTCGTCCATCTCCTGAAGGCGCAGCATTACAAGACGTTCATACTGTTGCCATACAACACAGAGTTAGTTTAATTTTACTGTCTTCCTACATACCAAATTTCATTCCCGTACGAACTTGCTAAGTGTTTCATATGTAATGCATCCCACGCACATTGCAGATTCCACTGGGTGCTTTTACTCTTCGACCTGGAGGCCTGCACCGTCAACGTATATGACTCAATGGATAAAAAAGAGTCTACGTTTGACAAGGTTTTCGAACTTATAGACAGGTACCGTCATAAGTTCCTTTGTTAATTAAGAAAATCTTGTTATGTTAATTGCTACTACGAATCATAGCTTCAAACTCCATGTAGGGCTTGGTATCAGTTCCGTCATTTGGTCCGCGGCAAATGGAGAGAAAGACTTAGGCGGAAGTTCAAATTTCCTGTGAGTACACATGCTCTACATTTATATTTCTCCGATTCAAATACATACAAGTGTATATTAATTAGATCTCTCGTTGTTTGTCATTTATTTGTAGTGCGCAAAGCAAAAGCAGGGAACTAACTTGTGCGGCTATTACGTGAGCGAGTATTGCCACTGCCTTGCAAACCAAATCATCACCACAAGAGAGCTCGATGTACGTACAAATAAATTCAAAATTTCATTACGTAGCGATTTCTTGTTTAATTAGTAATCAATTTCATACATTCATATAGTTTATTCGCATGAGGGATAACCTGACCACACACAAGGAATTTATCACGGCGGTTCAAGAACAACTCATGGGATTCATCAACGAAGAAATCCTTGATCCCAAGGGTGAATTCTATTACGACGGAAACACAATTCACCGGTCCTTAGCTTCTGAGCTAGCAGCGAGTACTACTACGTCGAAATCGTAGCTAGCTAGGACATATAATGGATTATAATTAATACATGACTACATATGTTTCTATATGCATGTGTACACATTTTCTATAATGTAAATATATTTTGGTCATATATATATCTATATACATATGCATTTGCATAACATATATATGTATAAATACATATATATTATGCATGTATATACATATAATATAATATATATATATATATACATATATATATGTATGCATATATATGTATTGAAACATATATATGCATGGTTTATATATATATATATAAACCATGCAGCAACAGGGCCATGCAAAAATAAAGAAAGGTCAGCTCGATCTTTAGTCCCGGTTGGTGTTACCAACCGGGACTAAAGATCGATCTTTACTCCCGGTTATTTCACCCGGGACTAAAGATAGCGATCTTTAGTCCCGGATTAGTACTCCCGGTTTGGAAACCGGGACTAAAGGGGGGTTACGAACCGGGACTACAAAGAGTTTCTCCACCAGTGGGTGGGCCTGAAGAAGAGAAGAGAGAAGAGAGAAAAGAAAAGAGAAGGAGAAGAAAAGAGAAGAAAAAAGATGTGCAGCTGACATGTGGGCCCCACATACTTTATTTTATTTTTTTTGCTGACTAGAATGCCACGTCAGCGAAACCACCCATATATACTTTCATAGGACCTTGTGTGCATGGTTTGTGTGAGTTTAGAGGTCCACATTTCTGGTTTTGTGGTTAAGGGAAAAAAAATCAAGCTGTTAAGTTGAGGGACCTTTGGTGAACTTATTCCTTGATTCAAACCGAGCTGAAACGGACTCTGTCATGTGAAGATGCTTCTGAAGCCCATGTAAGATGTAAGGTGCACAAGTAACGTTTATCAATCGCCAAAGTGAACAGTATGCATGAAGAGAATATGGACAATAATGATTATTGATTTGAATACTGTAAGGCCATTCCCAACCCAAGACAATAGACATAGTTTCTATAAACTCTACATCATCAAGAAACTAGTACTAGACACTACTCTTACAATGCAAACATCATCATTCCATACTTAAATTTAATGCTACTTATCTCACATGATGTCTTGGATGTTGTGTATAAACCATGTCTCATGCAAGACATGGTTTTCTTATCTTTATTTATTTATTCACTTGTCACATCATTTTTTATCTTAGTTGGCAGCTTATTTAATGCTATGAACATTATTGTAGTCATTGGGTTGGGAATGGACTAAGGTACGCGATTTGTGAGACCGATAAGCTAAAATGTGTTGGCCGGTCCCCTTAATTAATTATTGTGAGACCAGCACCATATTTATTCAGAAGCAGTGACATACCCAAGTATATAAAACTTATAATCATATCTTAATCTCATCCCCTGTCTGTAGCTAAAACTTGTTGTTGTACCAGTAGATACCATCGCGCTCCCTGGGCTCAACGTACATGCACTCCTTGGCCTCACGCCATGTTGCCTCGATGATGGGCGTGCGGTCAAACTTGTAGTACTCACCGAGGACGGGCCTCGCTGCCCTGGTGGCCTCCATGGCGTGGTAGTGTGGCATGCTGGGGAAGAGGTGGTGGAGGACGTGCGTGTCCGTGACGTTGTGCAGCACGCGGTTGAGGACGCCGTAGTCGCGGTCGACGGTGGCGAGCGAGCCACGCAGCCACTCCCACTCGCTGGAGTCGTAGTGCGGGAGCGCCCGGTGGGTGTGGTGCAGGTACGTGATGAGCACGAACAGCGCGCCCACGATCATCACCGGCACGCCGTACACGCGCACCACCCACCAGAGCCCGTACGCCGCCGTCAGCCTGTGCAGCGCGAGCAGCACGGCCAGGATGGCGGCGTCGGAGACGAGGACTTGGACGCGCTCCTGGTCGCTGAACAGCGGGCTGTAGGGGTCGTAGTGGCAGGTGACGAGGCGTGGGTACGGCTGCCCGGACAGGTTGAACGCGAGGTAGAGTGGCCACGCGAGGGTGAGCTGCAGGGCGATGTACACCAGCCGCCCGACGGGGTTGCCGAACACGTACGGGGTGTACCACGGCAGCGCGGACTTCTTCTTCGCGACGTACACCTCGTCTTTCTCCATGGAGCCGGTGTTGGCGTGGTGCCGCCGGTGGCTGTACTTCCACGAGAAGAAGGGCGTGAGAAGCGCCGAGTGGAGCACTAGGCCCACGAGGTTGTCGAGGAGCAAGTAGTCCGAGAAGGCGTGGTGGCCACACTCGTGCCCGATGACCCACACGCCGGTGAGTACACTGCCCTGCGCGGCCCAGTAGAGCGGCCAGGCGACGAGGCGGAGGATGCTTGGGAGGGCAGGGATGCCGACCAGAGCAAAGTAGAGGAGGCCAGCGGCGATGGCAAGGTCGTGGAGCAGGTAGGAGAATGACTTGATCACGGAGCGGTGGAAGCAGTGCGGCGGGATGGCCTTCTTTATGTCCCCCAGCGTGAACGGCGGTTTGTCCACCGGTGAGCGCTGCATGGCTGCGCTGCTGCCGGAACGGCGGAGTAGTAGCTCCTGTTTCTTCCCCTCCACCACCGTCGTCGTCCGGCGCCCGCTGGTACCCGTATTTCTATTGATGACAGTACGTAACTGCATGAATCGATTAGTCAACAATTTTGTAGTGTTCCATGCGAATCCAGAAAAATAAAATCCAACGGGGAGACATGTCGATGAATTATTACGGGAAATCTATAACATCCATTTACTGTAGACTGTAGTAGTGTAAATCTTACGCAAAGGGCAACCACTATGCTACCGGAATTACATGAGCAAGTCTGGATTTAGAGTAATATCATAACGATTTTGTTAGAACACGCTACCTCCGTTTCATATTATAATTCGTTCTGACTTCTTTCCTAATCAAACCTTTTAAAATTAGATCAAAATATATTCAAAATATAACAATATTTTTAATAAGAAACAAATATATTATCAAAATATATTCATTGTTACATTTAATAAAATTAATTTGATTTTGTAAATATTGCTAATTTTTTCTATATACTGGATCAAATCTAAAAAGTTTGACTATAAAAAATATCAAAGCGATTTATTATATGGAACAAAGCAAATATAACTTTAATAATTGAGTAAATTTCACAAAACTACATGTATATTACACAATTTATCACAAAACTACATATTTAAGAGCTTGTTTCCCAAAACTATAGATTTAGTGTATCTGTTTATCACAAAACTACACGTACTTTGTACAATCTATCACAAAACTACAGATTTAAGAACTAATTTCACAAAACTATAGATTTAGTATATTCGTTTATCACAGAACCACACACATTTAGTGTCTTCATTTTTCAAAAAAATACACATTTAGTGTTTCCATTATCCCAAAACTGCAAGTTTTAACGATGCTAAAATCTGTAGTTTTGTGATAATGGAGACACTAAACCTGTAGTTTTGTGATAAATGAAGATATTAAATCTGTAGTTTTGTGAAACAAATTCTTAAATCTGTAGTTTTGTGATATATTGTGCAAATTACATGTAGTTTTATGATAAATGAAGACATTGAATCTGTAGTTTTGTGAAACAAGTTCTTAAATTTATAGTTTTATGATAGATCGTACAAAGTATCTATAGTTTTATGAAATTTACTCTTAATAATTTTGTTCATATCATCGCTACTACATAAACGCACAAAGGTGTCGGCACTATAGGTGCCGGAAGTGTTAAAATCAACACCTATAAATTTTTTCCCACCTCTCACCTCTGCGGATTGAAAATATATAATCGGCACCTTTGAGTAATTATATGTGCCGGCTCTAAATAAATACACCAACACTATAGGTGTCAGATTTTTTTTTACACTTGTACATATAATATATCGAGCCGAGGCGAACGCGCTCTCTCCTCCGCCTTATCTCCTCCGGCACCCACCCACCACTCTCTCTCCTCCTTACCTCCTCACTTACCTGTCCTTATTTCCTCCATCTCTCTCCTCCTCATCCATCCATCGCTCTCTCACGATCGCTCTCTCTCCACCGCACCCACCCACCCGGCAGTGGCGGCGGCGCCCTCCCCTCGCTAGATCCGGCGGGAGGGGAGGCGGTGAGCTACCAGGTGGCAGTAGCCCAGTGACCCTCTCCCCTCCACCCAATCCAGCAGGAGGGGATGTGGTGGGCTACCAGGCGGCGTCCTCCTCCCCTCCGCTAGATCCGGCGGGCTACCAAGCGGCGGTGGCGACAACGCCCTCCCCTGCACCAGATCCTGCGGGAAGGGAGGCGACAGGCTACCAGGCAGCGCCATCTTTTGTTAGTGTTCTTGCATTTCCTTGGATTAAATGTTCATCGTATGAATTAAATGTTCGATGAAATCTGGTCGGTGCGAAGGGGATTGCCCGATTGCATCGAGTCGATCTTTTTTCTTTTCAATCCTGTAATCTCAAAGGTGTCGGTTCTTAAACCGGTGTGCCTTTGAGAGAACTCAAAGGTGTCGCCTGCTGGGTACCGGTTTCCAAATCTAGCATCTTTGTGGGGTTGGTAGCCAGCACCTAAAGCATTTTCTGTAGAAGTGTATAAATCATTAAAAAATAATTTGTAATTAACATATACTCCCTCCGTCCCACAATATAAGGGATTTTGAGTTTTTGTTTGCAACATTTGACCACTCGGCTTATTCATTTTTTTTAAATATAAAAAACGAAAAGTTGTGCTTAAAGTACTGTAGATAATAAAGTAAGTCACAAATAAAATAAATAATAATTTCAAAAATTTTTGAATAAAACGAGTGGTCAAACGTTGCAAACAAAAACTCAAAATCCCTTATATTATGGGACGGAGGGAGTAACTGTATATTTGTGTGCCTAGAACCACATACTACACATGAACTTTTCTCCCTCCATCCCAATATAAGTTTATCTAGAACAAAATGTGACATATTCTAAGATTACAAATCTAGAGGATGTAACATCTCCTATGACTATGAATGATGTGAAATAATATAGGTGAGGTCCACCCTCCAGGAAGCACGTGCTTGCAGTCAACACTAATTAGCAGCCATCTTTTAGCTCCGGTCACTTTCCTCTCCTCTTTCTTTGGACTCATTCAAAATTTTGTTGTGACATACTACCTCCATTCCAAAATATAAAAAGTTCTAAAATTGGATACGATTATTAAGAAAGTATGTACAATTAAATCTGAAGATGTTGTGATTGGTTGAGAAGTGGAGATATACGAGAAAAATGAATGGTGGAGGGTTGTGATTGATTAGAAAGAAAATATTAGTGTAGAAGTTGTTATATATTGGGATAAATGATAAATGCTAGAAGTTATTATTTTTTGGGATAAAGGGAGCACATATATACTATGAGTTTGAGGAGAAGGGGATTGGGAAGATATGCAAAACGAGGTGAGCCATTAGCGCATGATTAATTGAGTATAAACTATTTTAAATTTCAAAAATGGATTAATATGACTTTTTAAAGCAACTTTCCTATAGAAATTTTTTTAAAAAACACACCGTTTAGTACTTTGGGAAGCGTACATGCGGAAAACGATGTGTTTCTCACTAATGTCTCTGGAACGAACGCAATACATACTCCATTCGTCCCAAAATAAGTGCAACTGTGGGAATCCGTGTCCAACGTTAGACCATCCGTTTTATTTGAAAAGTTTATGAAAAAATAAAAAAAATAGTCACACATACTATTCATATTTTTTCATATAGTAACAATAAAAATACTAATAATAGGAAAATTTTAAATAAGACGAACGATTAACGTTAGACATGAAATTTTATGATGGAAATAGTAACTATTATACCTGCTCTTGTATATAGGTCGTCGGGAGAAGCATTTTTGAAAGAAAAAAAACACTAGACTCCGGTGCTTATTATATTACGAAAAATAAGTGTGCTTGAGTATATCTTGTAATTTAAAATTTTGGGATGGAGGGAGTAACTATTATACCTGCTCTTGTACATAGGTCGTCGGGAGAAGCATTTTTGAAAGAAAACAACACAATATCGTGAGCTCCGCCGCATCAGCTGCTTGCACTCCGCTCGAGCTCAAGCACAATATTGTGGCAGTGCGTGATGGGCCAGCCGTCGGACCACTTGATAACGGTGAAGTCCTTGGCTGCGAAGCGCGCAAACTGCAGGTACAGCCGCGGCGCGTCATTGTTATGGATGCCTCCGCCGTGCGCTTCTACCACCCCCACCTTATACGCGTGCAACGGCGTCAGTACCTGCACCCTATACACGCTCACCACATTCTCAACATGCCAATGGTAAGCAGCAGCTCCAAACCAGCCCCCTCAACACCACTGGATTTTTCACATTTTGGTCCTTTTAAAAAACTTATTTTGCAAATAGACCCCTGAAAAAACTTATCCCAAAAATGGTCCTTTTTGGGGCGCCAGAGTGGCTGGCGCCGTCATCCAACGGGACGGCGCTAGCCTCTCTGGCGCCGTCCTCCTGCCGCCGTGGCGCACGCGAACCGACGTGGCAGGAGGAGGGCGCCAGCATGGCTAGCGCCGCCGCCTCCATTCCTGTTTCTCTGTATGGAGTTGCAACGGTGTCATTTTTATTTTATTTTTTTCGGATGTTTTTTCACACTCAGGATCACGATACAACCAACCACAAAAAAAATTTAAACTCAAACTACCACTCAGCTAAGTTTGAAAATATCTAGCATACCACTTAGTCTACTTTACACCTTCACTAAAATTAGACCATAACTACTTTAGTAAAACCCTTTGATCAGCATGTTAAACATAATGCACTCTACCACTATATGAAATTAGTTAATCTAATTCAAAATATAACCACATGAAATGACATATATAAGTTAAACAGTACATAGAGATGCAATTTTTTATTTTTATTTCATTTTTTTGATATTTTTTTTCACACTTAGGAGAACATAGAAACCAACCATATAAAAAATAAACCCAAACGGACAAAATATATGACATGTAGAATTTTCCAAAACTCTACCGAAACGGACAAAATATGTCATCTATTAAAATAGGCGTAACTTTCTCATACGGACTCGGAATCAGGCAAATAATATATGCACGGACATCTACAGAAAAAGTTACATCCGATTCTTCCCGCTTTGCCGGGTTCGGCGATATTAAAACCTCCAAATTCCGCTTGCAAGATTGTGTTTTTGAGGAGAGAAGTTTTTCGGTAGAGCTTTGGAAAATGCCACATGCCACATATTTCGTCCGTTTGAGTTTATTTTTTACATGGTTGGTTTCTATGAGTTCCTAAGTATGAAAAAAATATCAAAAAAATAAAATAAAAATAAAAAAGTTGCATATCTCTCTCCTCTGCACTAGTTCGGAGAGAGAGAGGAGAGGAGAGGAGAGGAAAAATTCTACATGTTACATATTACGTCCATTTGAGTTCAATTTTTCTATGATTGGTTCTTGTGTGTCCCTAAGCGTGAAAAAAATATCAAACAAATAAAACAAAAATAAAAAATTTCGGGGGGGGGGGGGGGGGGCGCCAGCCACTCTGGCGCACTCCCCCTAGCCACCTCAGCATCGCCCCGCTACGTCGGCAGGGGAACGGTGGCAAAGAGGCTGGCGCCGTCCTGTTGAACGACGGCGCCAGCCACTCTGGCGCTCCAAAAAGGACCATTTTTGGGATAAGTTTTTCTAGGGGTCTATTTACGAAATAAGTTTTTCAAAAGGACCAAAATGTGAAAAATCCAGCTCAACACCAAGCTTGTCACCGTCCATGACCCCCCCTCCCCGGGCCTAGCCTTGCTGTGGCAGTTGCTGATGCATGCCAGAGGTGAGATGAGAGAGAGAAAGAGGAACGAATGAGAGGATGGAGGAAGAAGACGAGGGCAGTTTGGTCAGAAAATTTTGGAATTTGTATTGAAAGGGTAAGTAGTGGCACATCTCAAACATATGTAAAATTATAATGGTATGGTTCTAATTTCATGAATTGTAATAGCATATTAAAATATGCAAAATTATAATGGTATGAATCCAATTGTGAATCTGATGCACTTGTCCATGTACAAAGGCAAGATTAGTTTTTTTTTAGGGGGAGGGGGGGAGGTGTATGTGCTTGCATAGAAAACCCGTTTCAGCACTTATTCCTTCGTAACTACAAAGTTATGCAATGAATTCGTGGCAAAAAAGTATACTAGGGGAGTTCAAAGATAACGGCCAAATTGAGTTGACAAACTTGAATTCTTAAACTTTGTAACAAATATTTTTAAATATATAGTTCTATAATTTGTTGTTGATGAAATGAATTAATCATAAATGCATAAAAAACTGATGTAATGGATATTTTTACTTAGACATATATGCTGGTCCTATAGAGCCAAGGCACCCTCATGATCTCTTACTCAATGAGGAACATAGGCGCCTTGCACCGGGCACCAACTGCAACCCCATAGTAAGTAAAAGATGAAATGATATAAATGGTTAACGCTGAACTCTAGTTGAGGGTGGCATGCCTTTTTACAAGCATCACTATCTCTATGGTGACAACACGACTGGTTCAAGGAATATATCCAGGGTATACATTTCTTTTGATCATAATATATTACCCAGAAGGCGCTGAGAAGATCAATGTACGCATCACAGGCTTAGAGGCACAACAAAAAGGTATGCCAGGTTAGTGCTGTGAGAGAAGTGCCAACCAGCTTAAGAGACAAATTAATTCTAGATTTTAGTTATTTCAAACTAAAAGCATTTTAAGATAATGATGATGTGACAAATATGCCTCTCAAGGTTTCCAACACACATCCATCTCTAAATTAACCATGTACTTTTGTAGTTATTAGTACAATATTTCCAATTTTATTATTTATAATATAGTCATTGCATTTGGTTGTGTATGAGGTGTGAATAGGAACAACATGCATGCTAACGGAAGATAGCTTGCACTTTACCATAGTTGAGGCGATACTCGAGATAGGGTATCAGTTCACTTACCCTCATCCCTATCTAATTGGAGGCGGCAAGTGTCAGGTCTACATCTATTTTTATTTGACGCAAAATGATTTCACAATCTTTGGAAGATGCAATGGATCAGGAAAAGGAAATGTGTTCTTACATGCATTATATATGTAATGTTGAAGCCTTATTGGATCGATTAGACATTATCAATAGGATTTTTGTTGCCCATGTCATGCGATTCCACCTTGGGTAAGAGGTTGAATATTGTATATGAGTTTAAACCTTTGACAATATATGTGTAGGTGAGTAGGTGATAATGTGAATGTGTATGTAAATATGAATGTCTAATGGTATTATGGTAGCCATGAATGTGTATGTGAAATATATGTGTTCGGTTTTGGCAGAGGGTGTGGGTAGCAAATACTAAGACTAGCCATTATTAAAGAAATATATAAATGATAGTAAGACTATATCAGTGTAATAAACATGGTATATCATGTATACATATACTTACCACCACTATGAATATTGCATACCTAAACTTGTATTATACGAGAAGGTGTCCCTAAGTATGTATATACATATATATATATATATAAGGAAGTAGCATTGTCCGTTTAAGGGAGGAAACTATAGTACGGCCTAAGAATGGAAAGGTCTTATCTGCCCATATCCTATTTGGGCTCTACAAGTTCTATTTGAAGAAGCGGTTATATTCCAGTATAAATATAGAGCCACCTAGGAATAGAGGAAATTAAATTACAGGTCATAGAAATAATCCATATATTGAGATTACGCCAGAAGAAAACCCTATAGCTAGCTGCTGACTACAACCCGCCATGTTGCCTGTCGAGATTAATTTGGTAGGCTATATCAATTATTGTGTTCCCCCTTTTACTTGGTGTGATACATTCTAGATCGATACATATAAAGTGGAGTAGGTTATTACCCTTTTCAAGGACTAAAGTAGTACAAAATCTTTGTCCCTCATTTTTTTTTATTCCATACTCGCCTGTACCATGGTATCAGCCGCACCATACGCCTCTCAAATACCGAGTCAAGTAAAATCCACCAACAAGATGTCTATAATGGTTCACAACACCAAAGCCGTTAAAGAAGAGGTGCCGACACTTGTCACCTCTCATGTAAAAGGGCTAGTGTATAATAAGTCACTATAGTACAATAATTATCTATAACGGTTTGGAACGACAACTGCGTACCATTACAGATGAGGCTCTACATCTGTGACCAATATTTTGTATTGGTAGGCTTGTCTGTTATAAATAATGATTTTGGCTTCTCCGCTCGCTTCACCCGCCGTTTGCTCGCACCTCCAGCCCGCGTCACCCGCCATCCGCCATCAGCCCTCCTCGTCCGCCCTTCCCCTTTCCCCCTCTTTTATCACAGTCTCTTGCTATCCGTAGGTACCGAGAAGAAGAGGGAGAGAAATATGCTCGGACAGAGTTATAGAGTATTAATTGTCGACTAATTAGTATTTAATAATAGAGCATTAGTTGTCTACTAATTAGTATTTCATAGATTTAGAAGACAGTAGGTTTGGATTTTTCAGTATGAATTATTACAGATATGGTTATATAAAATAATATAAATGTATAGGTAGTTATAAGATATTAATAAAATAAAGAAGGTTGTGATATGAAGAATGTAGTATGGATGACCTGTTGGAGCGAAGAGAAATATGGAGAGGGAATCTTTTTTAGATGACCATTCAAATGGGGATATGGATTATTAAATTTGGATAAGCTACTGGGATGCTCTGCCGAGTTAATAAGATAAGGCAAAATTGTATAAACCACTACAGTTGTTACTCTCTTGTTTTAAAATTCCCTCCAACAGCTAATTTGTTAGAAATGTCCACAGTCCACAGTCCACCCAACCAAACTCTTTCACCTAAGTGAATAGCCGAGTCAGCCTGTTTCCACCGACTTGTACCTGCAGAAGCCCAAATTAGCTGGCAACTCTTGGTTTTAGGTGCATCCAATTCAAGCTCGACCCTCGGTGTGGTTCAAAGCACGAAAACGACCTGGACCAGCGCAAGGGCTGAGGGCGTGGTAATCACTAGCAGCAATTGACTGCAATCGAGTTATGTTGCAGAACAACGGGTACACGACAATTAATGGAAATGGTCTGACTTGACTAACTTGTGGAGGGGTCCGGGTGGATGGTGGGCATGCATTTTCAACAAATTAGTTTTTAAAGAAATTTAGACGTAGGATAAAAAGATATCCAGTGATATGATCAAACTCAGTGTATATATCTAGTTTAATTTCCTTCTCCAACTAGATTAAGCTTATCCAGACCGCTTTTGAATTAAGCCCCAGTCAAACGCGCGCTGAGTGCTGTTAGCATTATGTTAGAATAAGGCAAAATTAACGCGTGCCACGGTGCTGAAGAAGCATGATGGTTGGTCGTCGCTCATGTTTGACTGGCCAGGGCCACCAGTCAATGTCATCATCGGTCTAACATGTGGGGCTGCGAGTACACACGAATGAAGATATAATTGCATTATCTTGAATCCACGGTCTTTCCTGTATTATTTTAATTAAATAATATCTAGGAGTGAATCGCAGAGTTACGTGTGCCATGACGCTATAAGAGCCAGGTTAGAGTAAAGCAAGGATATGACGCTATAAAAAATGATTTTCCTTTACAGGAGCCTTGAATTTTCATGTGCGGACCGTAACTGGTTACATATGAAAATCATCATCCATTTTCACATACGGCTTCTTAAAATAACCATACGAAAAAATCGATTTTCTTAGACATTTTATTTTCACGTGCGGGTCTGATATGTGACCTGCACGAAAACATAGCCCACACCACTTAATCTCCCCTCCTCACTTTATTTCCGCGTCGGCCTCCGCGCCTCCACTCCACCCACTCCCTCTCTGTCTCCCACTGCTCACTCCTCCTCTACCTACTCCCTCTCACATTATCTCTTCGTCTTCCCTCTACTCTCCCTTTCCGCCTCCCTCTCTATCCACTCCTGGCGATAGCCGCCACCTCGGCTAGGGCGGTAGTGGCGGCGGCATTGGTGAGGGCGACATTGGCGAGAGCAGCGACGACATTGGCTAGGGTGGTGGCGGCGGGGCGGATCCATCGACGGCCACCACGAGGAGGGCGGATCCATCGCCGGCCACCGCGGGGAGGCTGGATCCATCGCCTGCCACCGCGGGGAGGCCGGATCCGTCGCCTGCTACCGCGGGGAGGTTGGATCCGTCGCTGGCGACCGCGGGGAGGCTGGATCCGTCGCCTACCACCGCGGGGAGGCCGGATTTGTCACCGGCGACCGTGGGGACGACGACGATAGGCCTCGTGCAAGGCGGCGACAATGACGGTGGTAGCGGAGAAGACGACAGTGGTGACGGCGTGACGGTGGCGATGGCCGCTGGATTAGGGTTTGTTTTTTTCTATTTTTTATTTTTGATTTTTTATTTTTCCGTGCCGGCGGCTTAAGCGCCCTCACGCAAAAATCACGATTTTCACAGACACCTCGTTCCAGATGGGTGGAAGATCCGCACGTGAAAACCAATTCCGACCGCACGGAAAAATCGTTATTGTACTAGCGTGAGCTATAAGACAATTATAAAATTACGTGGAGGAGAGGGATAAAAAATATGATGTGTTGATTCTAATGTAAATACTTGCTCTACACGTACTGTAAGATAGGTGCATTAAGTTTAACAACGAGAGAAAGAGAGGAGAAAAGAAATGAAGTAACCTTATAGCTAACCGATTATACATATTTACTCTAATATATGTAAACTTATTGACAATAGCTAATACTAAACTTACTATTGATAGTGTGTTATAAGCTCATATGGAGGAGAGAAAAAAAGAGGAATGTGGGCTATTATCCCAGAATTATCTCTACATATATACATAACAGGTATAAGTGAGAGAGAGGAGTAAAAAATTGAGATAAATTTATAGCTAATCTATAAGCTCATAGCTTAATAGAACAAGTCTAATACTCCCTCCGTTTCACAATGTAAGACTTTCTATTATTATCCACATACATATAGATGTTAATGACTCTAAACACATATATATGTCTATATATATGTCTAGATTCATTAACATCTAAATAAATATGGACAATAATAAAAAGTCTTATATTGTGAAACGGAGGAAGTAGCATAAGTTATAGCCTTATAGATAGCTAGTAGTCGACGCTATTAATAAGCTTGCTCTAAATACTTATACCACGAGCAAGTTCAATAGTAGAGCTAACTAGCTATAAACTAATAAAAAATAGAATTAAAGCTAATATATATAATAAATTAGTTATATGGTTATATCTAATTTTCTTCTTCTTTTCTTAATATCACCTTTGTAATAAATGCATTTACCTAAGAGTATATGGGAAGAGTTAACTCTTGTACGAAACCAACGGTTCTCTCTTTTTTTTCTTTTTCTTTCGAGTTAGGCTGTGTTTAGTTCTACGTTGTGGTTATATAGGTTGTGTTTACTTCACACCAAAATTAAAAGTTTGGTTAAAATTGAAACGATGTGACGGAAAAGTTAGAAGTTTGTGTGTGTAGAAGAGTTTTGATGTGATGGAAAAGTTAGAAGTTTGAAGAAAAATTTTGCAACTAAACACAGCCATAGTCGATTTGTAGACTACAGTTAAATTAACTACCACTGCCCAGAACAATTCAGTTCGTCTGCTTATTTAGGCCTATCTAGTTCCAGGGGTGAAAAGTTTTGACGTATCATATCGGATATACGGATATATATTTGAAGTATTAAATATATACTAATAACAAAAATTCTACCTGTAAACTGCGAGATGAATTTATTAAGACTAATTAATCCGTCATTAGCAAATGTTTACTGCAGCACCATATTATCAAATCATGTACTAATTAGGTTTAAAATATTTATCTCGTAATTTACACACAATATGTGTAATTAGTTTTTTTCTATATTTAATATTTTCTGTATGTGTCTAAACGTTCGATGTGATATGATGAAAAGTTTACGGGTGGTAACTGTTGGTCTTTACTCTCCGAAATTATGCAGGCATGTATATATTAATTGTGCAGGCCGCTTTTGAATCTGTTGTCGCATGCCTGTATTTAGGCCATGTTTAGATCCCACCCTAAATATTTTTACCCTATCATATTAAACGTTTGAACACCTATACAAAGTATTAAATATAGACTAAAAAATAACTAATTAGACAGATTGCGACTAATATGCTAGATGAATGCTTTAAGCCTAATTGCTCCATGGTTAGACAATGTGGTGCTACAGTAAATATTTGCTAATGACGGATTAATTAGGCTTAATAAATACGTATCGCGGTTTAATGACATATTTCTGTAATTAGTTTTTTTATTATTGCCCGGATACCCTATACGACACTCTATATAATACCTGATGTGACACTCCAAAACTTTACACCTCTGTATCTAAACACCCCTTAAAATGGGAAAATGCTTTGTATTGCATGTCCGACAAAACAGAAATATCTGGCGTCTCATCTACCCTACTAAAAAGCTCGATGGATCGGAGGAACCTCACTGTAACATGCATGCTAAAGGTTTCTTTTCATTCTTTTCTCCTCTCTTTAAATATTTTTTTCTTTTCAATTACTTATCCAATCTACGAACCGATCACACCGTTGTATTCGTTGCAATCAAATCTTTACAATAAGATATCATATGATTATATTATATCAAAAGAAAAACATGTGTTTCAAGCCGTTAAAACTAAATGTTTCATGCTATCAAGTTTCAATGTGCATTTTCAGTGTGTTTCACAAAATTCCTGAAACTAACTGCTACTACTCTCTCTCCTCTCTCTCCACCTCATCCATGCATACATTTATGTATTTTAGCAAGCTTCAAAATGTTTTTTCTCTTAAATTACTTATCCAATCTATGATCCAATCACACCATTGTATTCGTTTTAATTAATCTTTACAACAAGATATCGTATGATTATATTTTAATAAAAGAAAAACATATGTTTCAATCCGTTCATACTCGTTGTTTCATACATGACAGCGATATATTTCAACGTATATCTTCACCATGTTTCATAAAATATTTAAATGTTTCAGTTGCTGATTTTTTTTATTTCACCATATATAACTTAATGTTTCACTTGTTGGTTAACTATTGACCGTCCGATTTTTTTTGAGTGATCAGACGTCCGATGGATAGATTTCTCCCTTTCAAAGCTGCCGATTAAGCCCCAAGGCGAACGCAAGTTCTGTTAGCATTATTTTAGAACAAAACAAAATTAAAAGGCGTGTCACGTACGCTACTGAAGAAGCGTGATGTTTTGGTCGTCACTCATGATTTATCGGAGTCATGCTAGTCTTGCACGTGATGCTCTGAGTCCACACAAATCAAGAGAATTATGCACTGTCTTGAATAACCGGTCTTTCATGTATAATTAATTAATATACACTAGAAAAATGAATTTCGCAGATAACCAATTTCACATGTGGACAACCTCGCCGCCTGTGAGTTAAGGCATATATTTTCACAGGTGAACAGCCGGCAACAGTCGGCCAAGTTATATTTTCTAACTAAAAAAAAATTTGAGCCGGCTTCAGCTTTCATCCCATTCTCATTCCAGGATTCCCCATCCGATCCAATCCCATAAAAAATTCCCATTCACAAATTCAAAGATCAAAGTTTCCAAATCCACAGCCTCACTAATTCGTTGAACAAGGGCAAAACCACATCACAAATTCACAAATCCAAAGCAAGTAGAACAAATACATAGCATCATGAATCTAGTCCAGCCGGATCCACCGTCCCTCGCCGAGCGCTAGAGGTCACTGTCATCCTCGACACACTTGATGTCGTGGTCGTCGTCGCGGTGGATGGGCAGCGCCAGGCGGCGGATCTGGTGCTCCCCAACACTGCTAGTGTTGGATCTGCCTTCTCCGCAACTCCCTACATCCGCCCTTGCTCCCCCGCCCTCTTGAGCATTGTCGATGCCATTCGAATCCAACCTTCTTGCTAGTGGGTATGGTGACCCGCCGCCAATCCGTAGTCCCCGAGTGGTCATTGTCGCCATCCCCTCTTTGGCTGTCGCCCTCTACCGGTGCCATCGCTTACCTCCACCCCTCTAGCTAGACTTGGAGGGGGAAGGGGAGGGGAGGGTCGCTACGGTCACCACCGTCTGCTGCTGTTGTCACCATCGTTGCCAGTCTCTGTTGCTGAAGCCGAGGCCCACCCAAGGCCCAACAACGATGGATTTGTGATGTTGACGTCGCGCCATCATTGTCGTCGTTGTCACCATCACGGTCATCATCGCAATTGCTGTTGCCGTCGTGGCACAGTCATAGGCAGGAGTGGAAGAGGAAGATCGGGAGAGGGAGGAGTAGGAGAGGTGGATAGGGATCGAGGTGGGGAGGAGATGGAGCTAGGAGAGAAGTGTGAGAGAGATGTAGTAGGTGACATGAGAGAGCCGAGAGAGAAGAGATGGAGGACTTAGCCGCTAGCTATGTTTGGTTGCTGGGATGAGATGGGATGGGATGAACCCACTTTTAGGGGTGTTTGGTTGAGGGGTGAGTGCAATGGGTTGGTCTCAGGAGAGGAATATTCGTCTCAGATCTGGTACCAATCGATCCGGTAAAAAGAGCCGGACAAACTAGTCCCACCTGGGACGAGTGCACGGCATCAGCTCATCCACGATTGATGCTGCTTGTCCGCGACCGCGGCCGCCTCCGCACCCGGCCACCGCTACCGCGCCTAGCCACCGCCTCATCCGCAACCGCCTCCACCTCCGCAACCGAACCGTCACCGCTCGTCCACGCCTCGCCTCGCCTCTGCGACCGCCTCTACCTCTAGGACTGGGTGCCACCTCGTCCGCGACCACCGCTGCCTCCGCGCCTAGCCGGCGCCTCGTCTGCAACCGCCTCCACCTCCACCTCCGCGACTGATCGCCGCCGCTTGTCCGTGCCTCGCCTCGCCTCCGCGACCGCGTCGCCTCCGGGACCAGGCGCCGCCTTGTCCGCGACCGCCTCCGCCTCCGTGCCTGGCCACCGCCTCGTCCGCGACCATCTCCACCTCCGCGCCCGGCCGCCACCTTGTCCGCAACCGCCTCCGCCTCCGTGAAAGACCGCTGCCGCTCGTCCGCCCCTGCCGCCACCTTTGCGACCGTCGCCGCTCGTCCGCGACCCGCCTTCGCCTCTCCTCTGCTTGCGCCGACGAGCTCCTCCACCCCAATGCTCGCCACTCGCTGCGAGCTAGCCGCTGGGAGCTAGATGGCCCTAACGGTCCGTGAAAGCCGTCCATCCCATCCCACCTCAATCCCTTCTACCAAACAAAAAAAAAACTATAACCATCCCATACCACAAACCAAACAGACAACTGAAACTATCCCATCCCAAAAAAACTAGGATATGTCTAACCCATCCCACTTTATCTCCAAACCAAACAGACGCTAATAGTGCCTCCATATTTTGCAGGCAGAGCACTTAAGATCCTACTTGTGAAAATCATGTTTGCTAAAATTGATTCACAGCGGGCCTTGCAAATCGATTTTCACATAAAGGACTCGATCTATAGGGTCTCTCTCTATTTTTGCAACTGGTTACAAGCGGAAATTTTTTTTAGTCAACCTGAGAAATAAAGTCAGACTTGGAAAAAAAATCATTTTTCTTGTCGACGTTTTAGTTTCAATGGCAGAGTGTGCCATGACACTACAATGACCAGTAAACCTTATTTATTTATTGAGCAGGAATGCAGAGACCGTAGCAATTCAGTACACTGCGCTAAATAATTATGTTCATCTCCTCATCTACTATCGGAAATTTTGAATTATAGTATAGTAAAGAGTACATCAACGGCCAAAATTAGACACCCACCTAGCAGGGCGCCGTCGTTCCTCCTACTGCATCCGCCCGCATCCATCCTGGTGAGTGCATCCTCTGCCACCGCCGTCCGTTCATCTTATTTGAAATTTTTTTTATAATTAGTATTTTTATTTTTATTAGATGATACAACATGAAAGTAGATTATTAGATATATTTTATCATCTAATAAAAATAAAAATACTAATAATAAAAAGTTTTCAAATAAGACGAACGAGTGGCGGTAGCGGAGGACGTGCTCACCAGGATGGATGCGAGCGGATGCAGCAGGAGGAACGATGACTCCCTATTCGCCTTGAAAATTTTGTATGGTTAATATTTTTATTTTTATTAGATGATAAAATATAAATAGTACTTCATTTAACATAAAAAATATAAAACTGCACTACTTATTTTGGGACGAAGAGATTACTATAAATCTGAAATAACGAATTTAAATAAGAGGTGTGTCTAAGCTCGTAATATTAAAATGTGTCAGCGTGTACTTGTAGTACCATCTGTGACATTGTCTTGGAATAAGGCCTTGTTTAGTTCCTAAGACAAAAATTTTTCACCCATCACATCAAATGTTCAAATGTTTAGAGACATACATAAAGTATTAAATGTGGACAAAATAAAAAACCAATTACACAGTTTATGTGTAAAATACGAGACGAATATTTTAAGCCTAATTGTGCCTTGACAATGTGGTGCTACAGTAAACATTTGCTAATGATGGATTAATTAGGCTTAATAAATTCGTCTCACAGTTTTCTGGCGGAATTTGTAATTTATTTTGTTATTAGACTACGTTGAATACTTCAGATATGTGTCCATATATCTGATATAACAACAAAACCTAAATTTTTTTCCCAGCTAAACAAGGCCTAAAACAAGGGAGGCAGCTGCTGGTCTGTAAACATCAACCTTCTTTGATTCTTTCAATACCCATCTGTATCCATTCCAACACTCCATGGTAGTACTTCAAAATATAAGAAAAGGCGAGTCTTCAAAAGAAAAATCGAAAAGATGACATGTATCTTCCTCAATGTGTATACGGTGACACACCTTAATTTCGTTCAATCCAAAATAATGTCAATAACACTCCGCTAGCGTTCGATTTGGGGCTTGATGGACAGCTTTTAAATAGAGGCTTGCACCAACTGGTTCAGAGGCGCGGCCAGCATAAGCTACCCCGTTTCGTTGTATCCTTGGGAGGAAAAGGGAAGGGACAGGAGAAACCAGAAAAGCATCCGCCCTATCTGTTCTTCATATATACTTCTCAGTTCCAGTCTTCCAGGTCGCCTAGCCTTCTCGGGTTTCTTGTTCTTTCTTATCAGTTTTACATATATATATATATATATATATATATATATATATATATATATATATATATATGCAAGTTTTCTTTTTGGATATCAACCGTTGTGAAATTAGTATCTATTCATCATGGGGAGGTAAGTTGATTTGAAGGAAATGTGCGCTGGGCCGGGTATGCAGTGCGAGGGCCTAGCTTCTTCCTCGGCTCCTCGCACTTCAACCCTTTTGTCTGTCATGGTAGTAGCATTTCATTACAAGAAAAATCTCATGTTAGAATAAGCTTCCATAATTCCATTATAAAAAAAAAAATGAGTCTTGTTTATTAGAAGCCAGTCACGTTTTGACACAACGTAACCGCACGCCATAAAAGACACCATTACACATGCTTCAATATATATAGCCCTCTAACATTCAAATATGATGTTTGAGATCGCGTCAAAGTTACATAATATTATACACTCGTCTATATGCTCTTCACTACCCAAATTAATGATGTCCTACACGTATTCACGTAAAATTGGAGGGTTTCATGAGACTTTTTCCATTAGTAGAAGTGTTATACAAAACTGTTTACATATTTATTAGCACGCAACAAATGACCAGTGTATATCGTATCACTACTAGTAATAAACACATAATGTAAATGCGTCTACATGTAGCGCATGCATCTAATTAATGTGTCTAAGACTTTAGAGAAGATTATCTTACATTTGCTCTGAACTAAAATAATCTCTACACACCCTTTAAAGGTCCATGTGAAGATGATCGTAACACACGTATTTTATAGAAAGGACGCAGCTACACGTGCAGGGCAACCACAGAAACATATTTTGTGGTTACATCTTATTCATGTGTAAATTACTCCCATATGTTAGTTCGAATTATGTTAAAATTATCTCCAGCCACTATGATATGTGACAAATCAGGCCGAAGGCACAAGCAACAAAATAAAACAAAAATGCACTATAACATTCTCAAATCTACTTGATACTGTGAAAGTTTTATGCCTTCTACTTTCAGATTTACTATATCAATCAATCATTATAATTTATTCATGTTCTCCTTTAGCAGTGTAGTTATCTGTAATACTGTGAAAAATTACTTTTAATATTATAAAGAGTTACTTCTCTATTCTTTTGGAGTTAATTCCCTCTAGTAGTGTATTAATTAATAGCGTGAAGAGTTACTCTCTTCTAACAGTGTAGATACTTCTAATACTGTAAAAAAGTTACTCATAATATAGTGTAGTTAGTTCCTATATAAAACACAATTAGGCCTTGCTCGGTTTGAAGGATTCTTAAAGGAAATCTTTTTGGAATAAACACTATTCATGCATTCGGTTCATAAGATTCAAAGAAAATTTTTTCATAGAAATACTATGTCAATCCTCCAAAATATATTAATTCCATAGGAATAAAAACATCCACACTATCCTCTTTTATTCAGCTTAGTGTAAGAAAAATTCATGTATTCCAATCCTTTATTTTTCACTTGCATTCGTACATTATTCCTACGTTTTCCTATTATTGTGATTTGGAAATCGTGTGAACCGAATAGACCCTTATTTTTTAAAAAAAATAATACAGTGATTACTTCAAATAAAAAATCCTTGTGTGTATCTTCTTTATATTATCCATGTGAACTTAATTACCTTGCATAGTTTATTTTAAGTCAGCCACCACGTAGTTACTTCTAATGTAACATTAGAAGTATATTACTTTGAAATTGTTTGAATATATTCATTAATATTAAACTTCGAGTAGAGTACGATAGTTCAAACAAATCTAGAAAATAATACAAGAAATAAATTGTCAAAAGTTGTATTAATAAAAAATTAGACTAGTGTAACCTACCCTAGTTCTGATTGTTGACGTACGTTGGCTTTGAATATGGATTGTTGCATCTAAAACTGATCAGACGAAGAAAACAATCTCACGTGTTTTAGACTAAATAGTGCATACGCAATAGTTACATTATACGCCTGAATAGGCATGCTTGTAGCATCTAAAACCGATGAAAAGAAAGAAAACATCACGCATTTAAACTAAGAGAGTGTTTGAGAGAAGAGGATTGGAGAAGATTAAGATAGCAAAACACGGTAAACCATTAGGTCATTCCCAACCCAATGACTAGGATGGTGTACATAGTATTAAATAAACTGCCACCTAGGATGAAAAATGATGTGGCAAGTGAATAAATGAGGAAAAGAGAAGAAAACCATGTCTTGCATGAGACATGGTTTATACACAATATCCAAGACATCATGTGAGATAAAGAGCATTAAATTTAAGTATGGAATAGTAGTGTTTGCATTAAAAGAGTGGTGTCTAGTACTAGTTTCTTGATGATGTGAAGTTTATAGAAACCATGTCAGGTTTTTTGGTTGAGAATGGTCTAGGGTACGATTAATTGAGTACTAATTATTTAACTTAAAAAATGAATTAATACGATTCTTTAAAGCAACTTTCGTACATAATTTTTTTTATAAAAAATATATCGTTTGGCAGTTTGAGAAGTGCTCATGTGGAAAATGAGGAATCTTTCCTCTCAATCCGTTGTAATGAAAGCAACCTAAATAGTGCGTACGTATTGACTCGATTATACGCTATAAAAAGATATTTTCTTCATTTATTGCGTGCTGTTCTCCTAAGTTCACACCAACCACTTTATTGACTATAGATTATCTCACCATCTAAGCTCCTTTCCCTTTCGGAGATCAGAAGCTAAAGCAGCAAAGTCCAAAGTTAATCTGCACACGTCAACACTGCCGCCGGCTGCGTTCGACATAGGACCAAAAGTTATCTGCTAAACAATATATCTTTTGAAGAATATTCTATATAAAAGTATGAATCTAATTTTTAAGTTTGAATATTTAATACTGAATAAACTATATGCTAATATTTTCTCATGTTTTATTAATCTTTTTCTTTCTCTTTTCTCGAACACAGCTAGGCTGCGTTCTTTTGGAGGGGTTGGGAACCCCTCCCATCTACATGGAAAACGGAGCGATTGATTAACACGTGATTAATTAAATATTAGCTATAAAGAACTTGAAAATAGATTAATATGATTTTTAAAGCAAACTCTCATATATAATTTTTTTTGCAAAACGTGTACCATTTAGTTGTTTGAGAAACGTACATACAGAAAACGAGAGAGATAGATTAGGAACATGGGAAAGATATATATAACGATATAGCTATACCATGAATGACGCAATGAACCCAGACCGCCAGTCACACCACGCCAACGTGAACAGAATATGGAGATGGTGACAGTATCTTGTGCGGTTGTGCCGCACTTGCTCTTTTAGGACTGTTTAGTTCGTGGAAAGAAATTTTTTTTTGTCTTATATCGGACATTTGACCGGATGTTAGAAGGTTTTTTTCGGACGCAAATGAAAAAACTAATTTCAGAAGACGATCTGAAATGGTTCATCTTCATGTGTCCACGCTTTATATTTTTGTGTTAAATGGTTCTGTCGAGCACCAGTAGAAGATAAGACGATCTGAACAAGCTAGTAAAGAAAGGTCATTTTTATGACTCACGCTTGCTTTTATGTTAAATTAATGTTCCTTTGGACATGAAAAATCTAAACCAACAAACTAGCTAGCGAGAAAAGATGATTACATGTCATAATTAGAGACTAGTGTTTTGCTTTTTTCCTGTCAAATGCTTCATTCGAGCCCGTAAATGTTCAGCCCAATATACAATATTAGGCACTGCAAAAATATTTAGACCGTGTTTTTACAATAGTTAGTTAAGATGATAAAAGTTATAACCATTAACTTAAACATATTTATTTTATTTTTATTCGTTTTCTTTTCACTTCATGAAAGCATGTTTTCATAGAGAATAAGATTTAATGTTGAGTTGTTGTTAAGCATAACAACGATATTTTCTCTCTTCACTATCTTTTCATTGTCAGCAAACATTTCTAATTAGCAAGCAAAAGAGCTCCTTATTAATGACGATTGCACATACCCTAAAACCTTAAAAGATATAACATTAGACAATCTAAACCAAGTAAGATGAGTCAAGTGTTGTGGTGAGTCATTGTCATATTATTCTTAATTCAGACTTACTTGATCATGTCATACCAGGAACGACAGAAGATGGCGACTTCCCTGTGTGCTAGATGCACACGTCAATCAATGAAAAATTAGTGTTTTTCCCTTAATAATTCGTCTTCTGGTCTCCCCGTTGCTTATTTTTTTCGATTCGCCAGTAAATTAACACTATGAACGTGTTGACTGATTGCTTCGTGTAATTGCGGTCAGCAGCAGTACGTATGGGTACCAGCAGCCGGCCGACGACGGTGAAGGAGGGGAAGAAACTAGAGGCGCCCCGCCGTGCCGGCAGCCATGCAGCCGTGAAGCGCTCTCCGGTGGACAAGCCGCCGTTCACGCTGGGCGACATCAGAAAGGCCATCCCACCGCACTGCTTCCACCGCTCCGTGATCAAGTCATTCTCCTACCTGCTCCACGACCTTGCCATTGCCGCGGGCCTCCTCTACTTTGCTCTGGTCGTCATCCCTGCCCTCCCAGGCGTCCTCCGCCTCGTCGCCTGGCCGTTCTACTGGGCCGCGCAGGGGTGCTTCCTGTTCGGGGTGTGGATCATCGCGCACGAGTGCGGGCACCACGCGTTCTCGGGCCACGCACTCCTCGACGACACCCTCGGCCTGGTCCTGCACTCATGGCTCCTAGCGCCATACTTCTCGTGGAAATACACCCACCAACGGCACCACTCCAACACCAGCTCACAGGAGCGCGACGAGGTGTTCGTCCCCAGGTTCAAGTCCGACCTGCCGTGGTACTCCCCATACGTGTACAAGTACAACAACCCCGTCGCTCGGCTGCTGCTCCTCGTCGTGCAGCTCACCGTCGGGTGGCCGATGTATTTGGTGTTCAACACCTGGGGTCGCCAGTACCCAAGGTTCGCCAGCCACTTCGATCCCTCTGGGCCCATCTACAAGGGGCGGGAGCGCGTCTTCATCGCCATCTCGGACATCGGCATGCTGGCCGTGTCGCTCGCGCTGTACAGGCTTGCGGAGGGTTACGGGTTTTGGTGGGTGGTGCGCGTCTACGGCGTGCCGCTGCTTGTCGTCAACGCGTGGCTTGTGGTCGTCACGTACCTGCATCACACTCACCGGGCGATCCCACACTACGACTCCAGCGAGTGGGACTGGTTGCGCGGGGCGCTCGCCACCGTGGACCGCGACTACAGCTTCCTTAACCGAGTGTTTCACAACATCACGGACACACACGTCGTGCACCACCTGTTCCCTACCATCCCGCACTACCACGCTGTGGAGGCGACCAAGGCGATCCGCCCTATCCTCGGCGAGTACTACCAGTTCGATCCCACACCCATCGTCAAGGCGATATGGCGCGAGGCTAAGGAGTGCATCTACATCCAGTCCGAGGACCACAAGGGCGTCTTCTGGTACAGCAACAAGTTCTAGTACCTGTAGCAGCGGCAAGCGGGCGTATAGGAAGGGCTGACAGAATTAGCCATGTCGGTCTTGCCTCATCGCTTCATCTAAACCCATAATCTACTTGAAGTCTTGAATTAATTGTAAACTCAAATGAAATTCTCAATAAAAAAGAAAAATGCCTCTCTATATATCTTGCAATTTCCTTAACTGTCTGTAATAGGGAGCGCCATAAATGCAGCTACAAATTACAAGAATTACTCTATTTATGCTTGGTTTCATTACGATACAAAAGAAACAAGGTCCCCCTCTGTCTTCTAATGAGTAAATTACAATAATACTACTGATATACAGAGCTATTTCCTACTACTACATTCAACCTCAGATTCATCTCTATAGCAACTCTCGTTGTATAGAGCATACAAGATTTGATTAACATAATTAATATTATAGATTGCTTATCTTTACATTCGTTCCAGCACTTTGCTGTAATCGATCACAATTCACAAGTGAACCTGTCAGATATATCGCATCGATGCAATTGTCATCGACCAAGTTGTTTCCAATTGGTTGGCCTGTAGTCAGGGTCAGGCTTGATGAACAGACTGATCGATGCGGCATTAGAGATTGTTTCACCCTTTCCATGGATATTAGTCAAACTCAATCGGGCATGAGGTTGGACAAAATTGTCCATAAATAAAAGATAACAACTGAATTAACCGAGACCAAAACCAAAGTAACCAAGATCGAAAGGCTATCAGTTGTAACCAATCAAATTTAATACAGCCATTTCAGTTATCTACCACGATTAATTGAATTGACCGAAATATCACCAAGCCAACCTGTATAGCCCATCCCACTGACAAAAATCTGATTCCCCCCCCCCCCCAGGTCGTCTATTCCTCCTGCTCTCATCTCCTACGCTCTGGCAACACCTCTCCAAGACCCCACTGACCCATCGCCGCCTCGCCCAACACCCGCGCGCCGTTCGGCGACTTATGGCTAATGCCAACGTCACATTGGTCTAAACAGCTTATAATGCGTCTTGCCTGATGTCTGCACTAGCCTAGAGGACACCGCTGCGACAATGAGGAGGAAGAGAAGGCCTCCTTGATCGTCAACCACGACGGCGGAATTGAGAGGTGTGGAGTCGACCACGATGAGTTGATGAACTTTTTGCAATTATTTTTTACGATTTTTTGGCTCAACTGAAATCAGCTAACTAAACCGAATAGCTGAGTCTTCAAATTTTGTTACCATTATACTTTGGTCCCCATATTTAAATGACCGAATTTTTCGAATAGAGGATCGAATCATCAAATCGAATTGTTTGGTCTGGCCCATGAATGCACCCCCGGGCGGTCTCCTCTCCTTCTCGTCATTTCTAAATAAAACAATGTCTGCTCGTTTTTACATGTCACTTAAAAAGTTATAAAAAATTTTAGTAAGATAGTAAAATATGTGACATGTCACTCCACAGACATACATGTCCAAATTCAATTTATACCGGTAGAAGAAAAACAATAAATTTGACTTTAAACAGAACGTGTAATTTGATATCAAATTTGTTAATTTATTTTTCAAATTAAACAAGTTAAATTTAACGGTAGCGCTATTCCGCGCTCTACAGCGTGAAATATTAGTTCGAGCGCCGCACAACGTCCTTTCCTTCCAGTTTTCCCATTTTTTACCACCCCACATTTCCTCCGCGTCCTACCTTTTCTCGGTTTTTTTCGTTTTTTACCACTCCACCTTCCGTGTTTCTTTTTTTCTCTTTTCCATCTCATCTGTGCTTCATCAATGGGCCCAATAAAATATTAACCATCCATTTTTTTTGTTTTCCGTTCCTTCTCTGTAGTTTTTCTATTTTCGCGTTTTAGTAAAATATTTACCGTCTTATTTTTCTTTCCGAGTTTTCCATTTTTCTAGTATCTCCGCACGTTTCAAAAGTAATGAATTTACTCAGTGGAGTTTTTCATTTACTCCCAGCCTCCCACATCTGCCCATTCAAAAGTAACAAATTTACTCGCATGAATGCCTCCACATCGTATGGCACCAGTTGTAAAAGAATTACTACCAGCTTACAACGCTAGTAATTCTTTTACCAATATTATAAATATTGTTTAGATTTCATGGTCTGTGAGTAAAAGAATTACTACCTTCCTCTTGATATAGCCCATGATCTCGTAGCCACCGTGTAGTAATATTGTTTACTGATGTGTTCAATACACAGTATAAAAGTAAAAACTGAGATTTCGTGGTCTGCGAGTAAAACAAGTACCACCTTCCTCTCGATATATCCATGATCTCGTAGCCACCGTGTAGTAATATGTTTACTGATATGTTCAATTTACAGTATAAGAGTAAAAAACTGATACTAAGAGTATTGTTGATCTATATCATAAAATAGTCGTATGAATGAAAAAATTGCAGGCTCAATGACACACAAGCGATAAAATTACTCACAGCTGAATCAAACTAGAAAAAAAAATGATTCAGCCAAAAATCCATCGGGTGGCTTTGCTGGATCTTGCTATATGGATCTTGCTATAAGGATGAAGAGAACGGTCTATGTCTTGTGACTGGTTGTGGAGAGGGCAACCGGGTGGCGAGCTGTAGTCGACGATAGAATCATGGAAGGATGTAGCGGTGTGGTATAGAGATGAGCTCGACATTGCGCAATAGTAGCCATCCATCATCTAGCAAGCATGAAAAAAAATGCAAAAACATTCTCGTTCATGTCAATAAAGATGACGAGCAAAACAAAAATAGCAAACAACCTCCATCACCGGCGGACTCCACCCTATCCTCTGCAGCCAACGACATGGAGCACGATGTGTAAATGTAGGACCTGTTTAGCCCATCAATTGAGATTAGGTAATATTGGAGATTGCACGTTAATTTGATTTGCAAAAAAAAGAAAATTGGGGCTTCATGCGTGAAGTTGAAGGAGAGTACACAGATGCAAATCAGAGTGTCATTTCCTTACTTGTTTGCTGCATCAATGTCGTCGACGTGGAGTAGCTGCTGGTTGTTGCTATTGGCCCAGGTGAACACCTCCTTACTGGTTAAGGTGTTACCCAACGTCTGGCAGCGAGGCCCGGAGCAGTGCCTTCGCCTAAACCGCCACCGGCCACCGCTCACTGGCGACCGCCATCAACCGCCACGGTGTCGTCGTCCTCCTCCATGGTGTATCGCCGATCTGTGGGCTAGGATGGTTGATCGATTTAGATCTGAAATAAAGGAAAAAAGGAAGTGGGGCGAGAGTGGTTGGTTGGGTACGGGAAAAATAGAATATATACCGGAAGCAGAGAAGTTGTTTTTATCGAAGTAAATCATTTACTCCGATAATGGTGGGAGCACGATGCGGGACATGGGGTGGGATCGGAAGCAGGGGAGTTGTTTTTATTATTGAAGTAGATCGTTTACTTGAATAAAGGTGGGTGGTTGAGGTGCGCGATAGGAGTAAATCGTTTACTACGATAACGGTGGGAGTGGGATGACGGGACGTGGGGTGGGGTGGGCCTAGGCTGATGCATGTTTGGCACTTGGAATATTAGGAGTGCGCTGTGCTCCTAATAATAGTTATATAAATTTAAAACTGCATATTTATGGAATATCATATCATATATTGATTTATCTTACTAATTATTTTTAAATTTAGATAACTTTCAAAATGATATATATAAAATATGGATATCCCGAAAAAAATCATCTCCCATTTCTTCATGTTTTTCCAGAATACGCAAAAGAGTTGCGCATCATTGAATTAAGACTTTGAGAGAAGCAAATTAATACAAGATTATACCCCTAGGAGGCTATACTCAGTATAAAATAGAAAACACACCCCGCCACGTGCCCACACACCACCTGTCGGAGGATGATCTCCTTGAGCGGGGGACTGTGTGGCCCCCCTTTATTGGTTCGGCCGGGGGCAGCGGGTGAAAGTTGAGGAGTTGGAAGAAAGGAAGAGTATGGCTATGTCGAGGGGTCGGGGCCCCTCAGCAAGAGTGAGACCCTAGAGGTTTATATAGGTTCGGGCCGCTAAGAAGCGTAATACCCTACTCCTGTGTATGATGATTTTTCCGAGCTTACAAAGTCTCTAAATCTCTGGTGAGCAAGCTAAAGTTCAACCTCTCATCCACAGTCTGGGGGGAGAATCCTCCCATCCTCAGTAGGCCTGGAGCTCCTTTTATATCTCAAGGGGTTACCACATATGCCACGAGAGCTACCTAGAGAAGAGGGAAATATTCTCCACATTAAATGTGTGTCTTGTGCCTTAACTTGGAAGTCATCTGCGCGTCGGCTGCCGTGCGGGGCCCATCAAATCATGCCGGCTGACACAGGGGACATCCCTCTCACTCACCTTTTAATGGAGGAAGACTTGGGGGCATGCATGTACCGGGAATACAATCTAGGGCACATCTGGTGCGGCCAAACCGGCTACAGTTTGGATGAGAGGCCCAGAGCCTCTCATCATCACGATGGACGGGGCATACCTGCCACACGCCGCCAGACGTACGACCAGGGCGTGAGCGGCTTGTTGCCGTCCCATCTGTCATTCGGCCTATGACCGACTGGTCACAGACCGGTCGTAGGCTTGTCAGGCACGCAACATGCCGCATTCAATGCAGCGTGGTGCGCTCGCTCCGCCTGCATCAAAGGTGGTTAGGTGGACGCTGGAGAGCGTTCACCTAACCTCACACACGTGGCGGCCACATGGTGATTGTGGGGAGGGGTCGGGGCAGCCCGACCCCTTGGGCTCAGAGGGGACGGCTGCCACCTATCCACGGGCTCGACCCCCTTGGGGGAGCACCACGTGGACACTGGGGGCGGCCTCTTCCCTCTAAGCTTGGTACCCCGGGCCCATATCACCGACACCACCACACCCCGAGGAACACACGGCGTGAAGAGTTCCTCTCCTCTAACGGTGTAGATACTTCTAATACCGTAATAAAGTTACTTTTAATATAGTTTAATTAGTTCCTATATAAAACACAATTATTCAACGATTTCTAAAAGAAATCTCAATTCCTTTGGAGTAAATATTATTCATGCATTCGGTTCATAGGATTCAAAGAAAAATTTTCCATAGGAACACTAAGTAAATCCTCAAAAAAATCCTCCAAAATATACTAATTCCATATGAATGAAAACATCCATACTATCCTCTTTTTTTCAGCTCGGTGTAGGAAAAATTCATGTTTTCCAATCATTTGTTTGTCACGTGCATTCATATATTATTCCAACGTTTTTCATATTCCT